ACTATGAAAAAACAATGTTTAAAAATGGCATTTGATGATTCAATCATGGACCATGTTACTATTAGTTCAATTTTATTTCAATGTTTTTTTCATGGATAACTTGACAAAATAATTTTTTGTAGTTATTATTATGCATTTTTCTACTTAAATTTTTTCAATAAAATTTAGTATAGCGTGGTGAATCCAGTGCCGTGCTTAGATTTTGTTTAAATAAATCGACAATATGAATTCTTAAAAATTTACTCTTAAAATCTGACATAGTAGGCCTTGTATTTTATACTAATATGGCGTATTTTGATTCAAAAATACAGTTTATCAAGATCTACACTTTAAAACAAATCCGGTTAAAATCGCACTATAAATAAAGATTTTCTAGGGGTGAGTCGCAAACAAATGGGTCACACTGTATTTTTTACCATTACCGCAGGGGCGGACCGTTGACTTTGGGGGCCCTGGGCTAAAACTCTTTGGGGGCCTTTTTAAATTTATGCACATGGATTGGAATGAAAAACGGTTTTTATTTTTTTTGTGAGAATGACCCTATGTATAAATATAAAACAAAATATAAAAGGAATACATTTTATGAACAAACAAAACAACAAATTCTTACGTCAAAAATAAAAAAAAACAAGAAAAAAATAACACCTATTCTTAATAAAATAAATGAATAACATAAATATAAGAAATAATATAAATAAAACATTCTAGCATTTATACAAGGTGTCTTAAGAAGATCTGTACAATGCAAAGCCACATATTTCTTGGTTTAAAATAATTTGACTTAACCCAACTTACCTAAATAAAAATTTCTTTGTTTAGCCTTAAAAGTTTGTAAAAAATAAATACCTCGATAAATACTGCAGTATATTAAACTGATCAACAAAAATCTATTATTTTTTTTTCTATAAAATTTAATAGCCTCATGAGCCTATTAAAATATCACCCATATATATTATAGGTTGCTAATCGCGATTTTACATTTAAATTTAGTAAGTAAATGAGATTTTTTTATTTTGATATTATATAACTCGTTAACGGATTAATGGACTAAAAAAACTTTTATTTTGGAGAATTAAAACAAAGTTTAGTTATTATTTTATGATAAATCTAATGGTTAAAAAGTAATTTAAGAGTTCAGACAAATTTATAGTAAATTTTAAGTTTTTCTTATGTTCCCGGTAAAACCATCATACTTGTTACAAAATGTTGACAATGATCATATTATGATTTACTGGTTTTAGCATTATAAATAAAAATATTATCTGCAATAAAATTGATACTTTTTTTTAATTAATTAGTATTTAAATCAGAATTATTAATTTATTAAGTTAGTAACTGTAGAACTATAAGTTTTAAAATTATAAAATTACACAATTAAAAAAAAATTAAAATGATTGACCAAAGCCTCATAACTTTTTGTTATAAGTCTCATAGAAAAACAAGTATATGTACTTATTTATTATAATATAATAAGGGACCTCTTTGTAGAGCGTTTACTTTAAATAATATAATAAAATTATATTTTTGAAATATGTTGTTTTTATTTAAGTCCATTAATCCGTTAAAAAGATATATAATTCTCAAGTTAATTTTTTTTCCATGCTATTTAAATGAAAAATAGAAAATATAAATCGAAAGTTGCCTCTTAATAATAATATTAAGAGCTGAAATTTAACCAGGATCAATATTTTACCTTTATTAAATAGTTGATTTTTTAATCTGCCTAATTTATATTAAGTAGGGGGCCCTCGATAGGACGGGGCCCTGGGCTGCAGCCCATAATGCCCATGCCTAAATCCGCCCATGCATTACCGTGCCCGTTATTATTTTAATTAGACTTAATAATTATTGATAGTTTAAAATATTAAAATAACTTCAAAATATGATATGTTAAAAAATATGTAATCCTTTAATTTTTTTTATTACTATAATTGCAAAATATTATTAAAAAGTATCAAAAATTCTTACACAAGAAATTTTAAGGTACAAAAAGGGACATTTTATTTATTGGAGCGTTAAAATCTCAAATTTTTTTGTGTAAATAAAAATGTATCCCTTGAAAATAGACTAATAATCAATATATGTAGAAGCAGTTTTTCACATGTGAAAAACTGCTTCTACATATATTGATTATTAGTCTATTTTCAAGGGATGCACTACTACGGCGAAATCAAAAGGTCAGTACAAATGTTCATATAATCGTCAAGGAACTATTTAATACTGTATTATTTATTTTAACGATTGTATAACAAAGTTTAAACTAACTTCATCCCGTGACTAAAAACCTGTTGCTAACTTCAGCCCGTGACCAAAGCGCCATAAAGACACAGCTTGTCAATGTGTATTTAAAAGGTCACTTAGTGCCATGGAAACATGTGACTTTCCATGGAATGACTTCAAAATTAAATATATGATTTTATTAGGCATCAGACACATTTACAAATAATTTTTTTTACATCACAGATTCTACAAAAATAATTTTAAGTTACATTTTTTATACGTCACAGTGTATTTTGTATCTCACGACATCCCTAATGAGATTAACATAAAAAATAAACTATAATAACACTAGTTTACAGCCATTTTGCCCACCATGTCTCACTATTATTTTCTTGTGTAGTTTGGCTCACTAAACCCGAAAATCACATTTAAATTTTTTTTCATGGAAGCGTTTTCGAGATATGAATTTTCAATTGTTTTTTTTTTTAATTTTCTGAGGTGTTTTGACGTTTTAGAGTATATTAGTTCTAATTGATCGATTTGACCAAACAAGCACTTAAATCAAAGGTAATTGAGCCATCTACAAGTTGTAGACTACAACTTTCTCTTATATAGTTTTGGTATCGGCTCAGTAGTTACTGGAGATTTTATGAAGTTGGATAAGTCCTTTTTTTACAAAAATTGAGGTCAAAAATATCAAAAAATAGCAGTAAAATGTCACTATGCCAACACGAGAAACAAAAGAATTCACGTTTGAGAAGTCAGGTTAAATTTAAATTTTATGTGAGGTTTTCGGTAAAAAAAGTACGTAAAAAACTTAAAAAATTCCAATCATGCACTTTAATTAGGTTTATTTATAAACAAATTACGAAATAAAAGAAAAAAATAAAATAAAAATCGCCAAAAAGCTGAGTTTTGGTCTTCCACTAAAAAATTCATAACTTCGCCATTTTTTCATGTATTTTTATCAACATTAGCTTGTTTTTATTGTAAAAATGTCAGCTTAACGAAAAAAATCCAAACTGGAGCTATCTGTTTGATTTAAACCATTCCCAGGACGATATGTAGGTAAATTTTCGACCTCAATTTTTGCCATAAAAACGAATTTTTTAAGTTATTAAAATCGCTAGCGTCAAAATACTTATCCGATATCAAAATCAAATGCCTTCAATTTAAGAGCTTCAAGCTATACGGCCATTTCAAGCGCGCGAAACGCACGAATTACAAAACTGTTTTTATAAAAAAAATTGTAGATTATTTATTATATAATATTTTGGCATCAAAATTGTCAAAAATATTCTTCTTTTATTAGGTTATACATTAAATAAAAAAAACGCAAGAAATATTTTATGAAAGTAGAGAATTTTAATAATTGAAAGGGGTGGACGGGACAAAAAAAAGATTTATCTTGTCCCGTCCACCCCTGTCAATTATTGAAATTATCTCTACTTTTATAAAATATTTCTTGCCATTTTTTTTATTTAATGTATAGCCTAATATAGACCAGTGCAGAAGCCTTTAAAAATGGTAAAAAGAGAAAAAAATAACAGTAGGATGAAACCCATTGGAAAAGGAGGGGAATATAATAAAAATTAAAGGAAAAATAGATTACGGGCGATCTGAGTTCGGGAAGTGGGAGGGGGGGATTTAAGGGTAAAAAATGGTTTATCTCGATTTCCGGCAAAACTACAAGTCCTATGGAAAAAAGTTAAATGTCAAAGTTGTAGGTAATAAAAAAATCTACAATTTTTGTATTTACAATTTTTTCACATAACCTCAAAATTTATGTGAAAAATTCAAAAAACCAAGTTTTTGGTTTTTTATTTTTATCTTTTTCAAAAAAAAAAATTTTTTCCACGAAATTTGGTGAAAACTTACCTTTTTATGTCCCAAATACACTGGAATTTATTTGATTTGAAATATTTATTATTTCGCCTTATTTTGACTTAATATCAAAAAAGCACCCTAATTTTCAATCGAAAATTCTCGCGTCAAAATATAAGCTTTTTTCAAAAAGTCGGTGTGCTTTTTGTTCGATGAACTCTCTACTTTCTGATGGTGTAAAAAAAAATATACATTACTATGGTAAATGTTCTCAGAAAATACAAAAAATATTATAACATACAGTTTTGTGATTTGTACCGTCCATCCGCTTGAAATGGCCGTATACTCAAAAACGTCAAAACACCGAAAATTAAAAAAAAACAATTGAAAAATTATAATGGGATATGGTGGGCAGAATTTTTTTTTCCATTTTGTAAACCAGTGTAATCAAATAATCAATTTTTTTTTATTTTGTTAGGTTTCTAAAAATGGCGGATGCACCAAACAGACAAAATCAAAACTATCCATTTAATTTAATTTAAGTTCAAAAATAGATGTTGGTACGTGGTGGCGAACCGTCACCATCGTAGTTATACAAATATAGAGGCAAAAGAGCAAAAAAACCTTGCATGCATCCATTGTGCGACATTTGCACCCTTCCAATCAGCTGTGCCGTGGCGCGGGCAGTGACGTGGGGATGGACCGGCGCGCCGGGGGGAACGGAAAGGGGGGATGCGAGCGGCGGGGCGCGGAGGATCCGCGACGCCCGGCTACTGCATAGCAGCGCACCGCCGAAGTCGGCAGCAGCAGTCTAACCTCCGAGCGGACTCTGAACTAACGAAGTTTCGGCGCACGGGCCTCCCTTTCAAAGGGGGTCTTCGGTTTTTCGATACCAAACACACAAAAACATTAATTTTCGGTGAGATCCAGACGGCTGTGACGCTACACGGTGACGGATGGAGGCTGTGAACGGCGTGTCCGAGGGGGAGAGGGGGGCACCTCCTCCCCCCAGCCCCCTCACGGGGTGCTACCTGCTCATCGTCGTCGGGGAACCACATTCGGCCGAGCACAAGGACATCATCCTGCAAAGAGTCGCTAAAGGTAAGAAAGCCCTCTTCCTAACACAAAAACTTTCCTGCTAAAGGCCGGCCGGTATTGCGTCATTTAACACAAATTTTAGAAAGTCTTCCTTTCCTTTCTGAAAGGCCCAATCATAAAACCCAAAATGTCATAAAACCTCGCTTTAAGAACCTGAATCATATTTATATAATTAATACCTTTTAATTTAATTACATTTTAATGTAATTATGAAATATCTACAATGCCTAATAAAGATTACTATATTGATTATGTTATACACCTACATATTGATTTTGGTCTACCCTATAGCCACATTTATGGTAATTTAGTAAAGTTAGAATAGGTAGTCCACTCAACTCAACAATTTTTAACATTTTTATATCACCATATTAACCTTGTTAAGAAGAAAATAAATCAATAAACTTTCTTAGTCTGAAGTACTGTTTTGTCACCTTCTTATCAACACTTGAAAAAGTGTCTTTAAAGTTATATTTAAAGGATTGTCTGAAAAGCAATTTTTATATTTTTATATTGTAGTTACAGGATACAGTTATGTATTTTTTCAAAAATCTTCTTTTTCATAGAAGATCTGAAATGTCTAAAGATCAATACTCCCAAAGCAAAAATTATCGATTTTGGCGACCAGATTCAAAAGTTAGAATAGATAGTCCACTCAATTTTAACATTTTTATAGCACAATATTAACCTTGTTAAGAAGAAAATAAATCAATAAACTTTCTTAGTCTGAAATACTGTTTTGTCACCTTCGTATCAACACTTGGAAAAGTGTCTTTAAAGTTATATTTAAAGGGTTGTCTGAAAAGAAATTTTTATATTGTAGTTACACAATACAGTTATGTATTTTTTTCAAAAGGCTTCTTTTTCATAGAAGATCTGAAATGTCTAAAGATCAATACTCCCAAAGCAAAAATTATCCATTTTGGCGACCAGACTCAAAAGGAACCTTAAAAACTAAAGTATTTCTGAATATACAACCCTACCCTATACACTCACAGGCAAAATAATCGATCCACACAAATTTTCCATGAATTTCAATCGCAAATAACTTTTTTATTTGATGTCGGATTTAAACAAATATTAAAGAATATTGTGGATAAATTAATGGACAATCGCTCAAATTTTAAAAAATTACTAAAAAATAGACGTACGTTTATAATATACAGGTTTAAACAAAAAGATGTTTTTTACCATAAGTTTAAGACACTTTGTAGAGTGGCAAAACCGTATATCAAGTCACATCTATTCTTAACAGTTTTGTTTTTGGTTCACCTTGATATATTTATTTTTGTGGAAAATATAGATTTAAAAAAAACATTGCAATTTCCAATATTTTTCTGTATGAAGAACTAAGGTTGCTATGGTCCATCCATAGGCTATGGAGAATTACAGTGACAGTTTTGTTGAATCATCCCATACTTGGACATGTCATACACGGCTTTCAAAAGCTATCAAATTGTTTTTTTGCAAATTAATGTTTAAATTTTGAGGTGTTTTCTTACTTTAAAAAATGGATATGTCTCCGAATGATGTGGCCAGAGCCATTAATTTAATCCAGGATGGACGGTCACAGTATTACGTGGCAAGGGTTTTAATCGTCACATGAAGTAAAGTACAAAGGGTAACATCATTGGGAGACATTTTTAAAAGTAAGAAGACACCTTAAAAGTAACACATTAATTTACAAAAAACAATTTTATAGCTTTTGAAAGCTGTATATGACATGTCCAATTATGGGATGATTCAACAAAACTGTCACTGTCATCCTCAATAGGCTATGGATGGACCATAGCAACCTTAGTTCTTTATACAAGAAAAATATTGGAAATTGCAATGTTTTTTTTAAAAATCCATATTTTCCACAAAAATAAATATATCAAGGTGAACCAAAAATAAAACTGTTAAAAATAGATGTGACTTAATAATTAAAACTTAATTAAGAACAATACACAGTTTTGCCACTCTACAGTGTGTCTTAAACGTATGGTAAAAAACATCTTTTTGTTTAAACCTGTATATTATAAACGTACGTGTATTTTTTAGTAATTTTTAAAATGTGAGCGATTCACCATTAATTTATCTACATTTTTCTTTAATATTTGTTTAAATCCGAAAACAAATAAAAAAGTTATTTGCGATTGAAATTTATCGAAAATTTGTGTGGATCCATTATTTTGCCTGTGAGTGTATATTGAATACAATCATCTAAATATAAAAACGTACAAAAATGATTTTGGAAATTCACCACAAATACTAAACCGTAGCTGGTTTTCAAAACTCATTTTTTGAATCAGCTCGATAAATTCATTTTGAATCACACTAAAACCTTTCTGATACTGATTATGTCATGACATATGCATATGATTAAAAAAATATTGCATGTCAACTTAATTTAAGTAATTAAAAAAAAATGGTTTTCGAAATAAAGAAGTGATGATAAATATCTATCTTCAATTAATTACACATTTAAATTAAGAGCACAGTTTAATGTTTTCGCCATTTTATTGGACGCATTTTCTAGACATTTCTAATCAGATTTATGTGCAAATAAACTACACTTAAAGGACTTGCAGGCCAGTCTAACGTCATCAAATATCGATTTGGGTTGTACTACTAATGAACAAGCCAATTTAATTAACGGTATTTACTGTCACAGTTTGTGAACAAAACCAAGAATGATATTAATGATTTTACTAAAGGAAATTTAAACTTATAAAACATTTTTCTTCCCCCACCTTTAAAGCACATGACGCTGTGTCAAAAGAGAGAGTGAGGTTACAACAATCTGACAGCTTTTGAAAATTATTTAATTTTTGCGTTTGTCGTAGAAAAAGTGTATTGTAGTGTATTGTCGACATTTTAATTACTGAAACTCATAATCAGTTTAATATTGAATATTTAATATAAAATATCATTTATAATGACCTATTTTATCAAGTCATAAAGAATACTTGACAGGTCCTTGTGTAATACATGAGTTGCATCCATTGTTTGTGAATGGCGAAAGGGGTTCAGTTTAACATTAAAGATTATTTAAGGCGTTTGTGTATAACGCCTTACAATAAAGGTGCTTTATACAGGACCCCTGTGTTTAAGTGTATAAATACACTGCCGTTTGAGCCTGTTTAAACAGTAGAACATTAATAAATGGGGTTTTATTTATCTAAGAATAATTTTTGGTTTATTAACATATTAATAGTACTGTAGGACTTCTTACTTCTTTACTTTTGATCAGGATGTCTTTAATAAAACTTGATATTAATTTTTTATAAACTTTCTATATTTCAACGTGACAACTCTTCTTCTTCTTCTTATTTACATTACAGGGTTCCACCTTATCGGCATTGCATTGTTGCCAACACCAAGAAAACATTTAAATAACAAATTTTACCACAGTTCGGCCTTCCTGACCTTGATCGACCTCGATCAACTTAAAACAAGTAAAATCTATTACAAAATCGTAAATACATAAGTACATAAGACATAAAATCGTAAGACATAAGTTCATAAAATACATAAGACATAAGTTCATAAAATACATAAGATATAAGTTCATAAAATACATAAGACATAAGTTCATAAAATACATAAGATAATAACATAATCGTCGATTATTTTAATCAGTTAAACTCTTAAATTTACGACTATCTAAGCCAATATTTCATTTGATGAGGTCCACAAACATTGCTAAAAGGCCTCTGTGTTAACTGAAACCCATCTATATCACCTGGTATGGAACTGGTAGCTCACTAACAGTTTCATGGACAACATTGGTAGTGCTGTCAGCAGTCGAAGTCTGCGCTGGTGTTGTCTTCACACGGGCCTCCGGACAGTCCCTGAGCATGTGACCCATCTTTCCACATTTGAAACAGCTGCCCTTTTCCCTCTTTGGTTTTCGACATTGTTCGATCTTGTGTCCCTCCAAGCCGCAGTTGTAACATTTCAATTTTTGTGTTGCTCTGGGTGCATCCGGGGTTTGTCGTAAGTCCCTTGAGTAGGCTGGTGGTGCATGACCTCTGTCATTAATAGTAACTCGATTCATTACAGCTGCCAACGCTTCAGGTCCAGTAAAGTTCTGCATTCTAGCTTGCACTTGCAATGTAGCATTATCAAATCCATCAATAAGATAGTCAATCATGTCATTGTTGTCTAAACCAGCCCTTTTGCCCAACATAACCTTATCATTGTAGTAAGTTGAAAATGCTTCTGTTTTTCGCCACCTTCTCTTTTCAAAATTCTTCATTAATTGTACTTTATCGATGCCAGAGGTGAACATGTTACTAATCTCCACTTTTAACGTCTCCCATGGCATTTCTAGATGCGTTGTCTTGGAATAATACCATTTCAGTGCTGCACCTTTTAATTTGTTGACTGCGATTAAATGTGTTCTGCTCTCATCTGTTTTATAAACATTTTGTACAGTATCGACCCTCTGGATCCAAGATTCCGCGTCGATTTCATCGGATTCACCACTAAAATCTGGTATAAGGGTAGATATTTCCTTATTACTTACAGGAACTGTTTGGCTCCTTGATTCATTTGCTGGTAGTATTTGGTTTGTAGCATCATTTACACGGGGTGCATTGTTCTGTTCATTATAAATAAGGATTGATCTTACTGTTTGTTGGATGATTTCATCGACACTAAGCCGACATACCGCTTCTTCATCACTTTTAGACATGTCCGGTTCTTTTTCAAATCAACGCGTTGCAACGTGCATAACATAAAATCTTGAATATCGGGAAAATACCTTGTAGGACTTCTTAAATTTTACCATACATAATTCGCATCTCACTTCTGAATCTGTAGGACTTCTTACTTCTTTACTTTTGATCAGGATGTCTTTAATAAAACTTGATATTAATTTTTTATAAACTTTCTATATTTCAACGTGACAACTCTTCTTCTTCTTCTTCTTCTTCTTATTTACATTACAGGGTTCCACCTTATCGGCATTGCATTGTTGCCAACACCAAGAAAACATTTAAATAACAAATTTTACCACAGTACATTTCTGAAGTCACAAAAAATTTGATATTTGAATCGTCGGCCTTATCATGAAGTATAAACTATAAACTATAATATTTTCACTCTAAAACTGTTTTTAAATTTGTTATATCGTCTACATTAATTTAAGTTTTTATTTTATACCTGAAAACTGTACTGCAGGGTCTGGCAAGCGTTAAATCTGTTTTTTTCTACTCCCACCTTTAAAACGACCATTATCGTACATGTTTCCATGACATTAAGTGCCAACATTGACAAGTTGTGGCTTTATGTCCTTTTAGTCACGGGCTGAAGTTGGTCTTAGTTACTTGAGAGTTGTAAAATGTCTAACAATCGTTAAAATAAAGTGCCCATCTTGTAAAATAATACTAAATGTAAAATAGTATATTATGTACCAAGTTTTATAAACGCCATTTTAGCGAAGCTTGCGAGCGAGTGTTTAGTAAAAACGAGTGTTTAAAGTTGCATACTATACTTTATCTACGACGAAGAGAAATAAGAATTTAAAGCCAATTTGAATTTTAAACATTTGACAAATTTAACCTTACTTTTTCGCACTTCATAATAAAGCTAACGTCTGCCCGTGATTAAAATGCCAAAAAGCCACTGTTGTTAACTTCAGCCCCTTGACTAAAACGC